GTTTCTTTCTGCATCGAGTTTGGCAACCCCCGGCAGCTCATTGTAGCATCAGGTCTCAGGGCATGAAGTGGCATGGAAAAGTGAGGCTTTCAAAAGAGTACGAGTACCTTCACTCAGAACCCATTGGAAATCTTCCTGTCGGAGCACTTTCTCTTTCATTCTGAGGAACCATCAGTTGCAGACTATGCCCTGGAGGTCTTTGGAATTCCTGATTCTGCGTTGGAATCCGAAATTGTGAGCCACTTTGAAGAACTGACACTTGGCAGAGCTTAGCACACCTACAGTAGTAGCAGTGAAGAATCACTAGGCTTTTCTGGGAAATTCATCCTTTCGACTCTCGACGGTTGCATTGTCAACAAGTGGGAGTGGCATAGTCCTTGGCAGATGATGGAAAATCTATCAAACAAATTCAATCGGATAACGGAATCCAAACAACACATGAGGGCTCGACATTCTCTTACACATAAATATGTTTACATGTCTTGTACATGTGTGTTTCACTGTGCAGAACCTCTTTTTCAACTTATCAATGTATATTGGCCAACCGGAGCAAACACCAAGACAAGTACTGTTCAGTGACTGTTCGGTGGCTTTTTAGCTACACGCAGCAATTTGGAAGCTCAGGTTGCGCGGGAGCAGCTTTGATGGCTTGGTGTGCGACGTGGCCGTGGCTCGGGACTTCCGGGGTGCATTGCTCGAGGCGATGGAGGCCGGAGATGTCACAGGATTTCACCATCCAACCAACATTCATTTTCCGAAGCCAGCATCATCTTAGACAAAGAGGAGTCTCATGTTTAAGATGTTTAGAATTGAAGCCGGCTTGCTGCCCATGTCATTTTGCCTGGTGAGGCCGGTCCCAACACCCATCAAAAACACGAGCGGGCGCAAGAACATCAACGACCAGCACCATGGCTTCAAGTGCTGTGTCGTTCTTTGGACGGTCTTTTGGTGAGTATCATCAGGCTTGTTAGGGGAAACGTGATTTCCCCTACCAAGCCTCAGGTTTCACATGGATCTTCCCATAGAACAGTCCTGCGATTTGAGTTTCAAATCATGCATGAGTATTTTTGGGGTATACTCACTGAAACGGAATCAACTGCAAAGACTTGTATGGCACAGCTAGGCTTTGCGTTTGCAAATGCAATCAAACATGATCGGATGTGTGTAGTGACCGCGAATATGGTTGCCGGTTAGTTGTGCGTCAAGATGTGAAAGCCGCTAGCCACTGTCGTGTGTTACCAGCTTGCACATCCACCACAGGTCTTCAGCACCTTCATAGTGCTCGGAAGCGAAGCAGAGCGCAACTGGCTCATGCGCGGTTTCCGTTGGCAGCGATGGATACGATGCTTCCAACCGAGGTCGAAGCGCTTTTGCAGAAAGTGGCCTTTGTATTTCCGAGCCGCCCCTGAACCATGTGATCTTCAATGGGCACACTATTTGGATGGACGATATTGTGGTCCATCATTGACCTTTCAGCCGCTGATCCGCTGCTGTACCTTTGCTACGCTCCTGCTTCTCCTGAGCACAGGCTCCTGCATTTCAGCGTTGCTTTGGTGGCCATTGCTTGGACATCTAGGAAGCATGTCGATGCAATGCACCAATTGGTCAGAAACTACGGCAGGTTCGTGCAACTGCTTCTGTTTTTGCGAGTCTTCAAGCTGTGACGAATGGAGCCCTCCTGTTGGCATTCTTGCTCAGGGGCTGTTGGCAGAAATCTTCCAGCAGATGTTCCCGCGTGTAATTCAATGGACCATGAAGTGGTGGAGATGCAATTACCGGTCCCGTCAGGAAGGTGCTTGGATGATTACAACTGCACTGGCACACAGCTGCGCCGCACTGTCTCCTGTCCTTGGGCTTTGGGGTCTCAAGCTTCTATGGGCATACCAGCTGGTGAAGAGTCCTAGCACATTTGCAGATCCAAAATGGCAGATGGACTTGAGTTTTTACCTCTATGGCCTTCCTGTGATTGTAATTTGGTGTATTTGCCGCTGGCTCGCGGTGATTATCGATGCGTTGCGCTTGCGTGCCATGCGCTGGACAGGTCAGCGCTTTATCCTGTGGAGGCAGTATGCATCTCTGGCAGCTTGGCTGTCAAGTTCGATGGCTATATAATTCTATATAATTCTATATATATATATATATATAGCCACAACTCATGCTAACCTCCAAGCTGATTTAACCAATGTATGTATAATTTGTTGTGCCTATATATTGTAGAGATATATATATATATGTGTGTATACGATATATATATATATATATGCTATTACGTGCTCGATCTCGCATAGAAGTTGGGAGATGCAGGTCTCAACCCTCGCGGTGACTATCATTTTTCAGCCTGCGGCACCCATTCTGACGCCACTGGCGACCTTGGGCCTCCTGGCACGCTATTGGTGTGAGAAGTCGTCCATGCTCCGTGGAGCCTCCGCTCCAGGGCTGCAGAAAGGTAAGACCAAGGCGATAAGGTATGACAAGGTAACCCAATAAAATAGCGATGGCCTCCAACCTGATGGCGATGGCCTCCAACATAAGGTGTGATAAGGTGTGAGAGTGGGAAACCACACGCCACGGCGTTTGTTTTGCTATAGAGCAGTTGCTATTCACAGCACAATTGGTCAAAAGTGCACAGCTTGCCGCAAACAAGTTGTGTGGCCTTTACATTTCAAGTACTCTGTCATTTGCACATTGCCCTCACCCACCAAAACTGACCACTTTCAAAGATGAAGCTCCATGAGGTACTATATCTATGCTGAGTCAAGTTGTTTCATGTTGTTTCGAGAAAGTGCAAATTGCTGCAACCAATGGAGCTGTAGAATAGTGTGACCAATGCTGCATAAGGTCAGATGCGGAACACCAGTAAGGCTCGCCTTGTATAGTGCCACAACTGCTGCCGGGTGCCTTTGGATTGCGACGATCTTCGCCTGCGGCCTTTTCTTGGCAGTTCTGTGGCAAGGCAGCCACTGCTGTAAAAGACAGTCAAAACATGTCATCAGGTTTCGACGTCGGCTTTTGAGATGTCCCAAGTGTATCGTCGGTAGGGGCAATGATGTCCTCTCATGGTGATCCCCCCCCTCCCAGCCTTGGCCACACAGGTCCAGGGCACTCTTTGTCATCCGAGCCTGCTGTGGCCTCATTACTTTTCGTGGCCTTTCTGGTTGGTGCTCCCCTGCTCCTTTGGACAATACGAGGAGTTCTTTGGATGGCCTTTGGCTTCGGAGACCCGCCAGGGACCTCAAGACCTTTGGTATACACGAAGCAGAGGAAGGCAACTTGGGTTTGGTCAAACTGGAGGTGCAAAGAACTGTGTGATCAAATGTCAATTTGTTTGTTGTAGCTTTGCACTCCTGCAGCGTGTTGATTGATATTTGATTTTTTATTCACTTGGCTCCTGAGTGGAGAACCTTAATTAAGACATTATAAGATGTTCGATCTCTCAGGCTCCACCAAACCGTATGAGCTTCCACGAAGCCTGGCTCATCATGAGACACCAGCACATCTTGTACTCCTACAGTCCTGTGGCTGCAATAGACAGGATGAACTTTGCGTCAAAGAAGGTGATACTGTCATTGCTCGTTCCTACAGTAAATAGTAAAGAAATGAAAAGTTGAGTCGAGACCTGATTTTGATGGGAAGGTGCACCAGAGAATAAGAACTTTGAACAGCCCTGGACTTTGCGGCTTTGCTAGGCATCGCAGACAACCCGGACTTCAACGGGCTCCTTCAAAAACTAAGACCAGAGCTTGCAGAGCTTGTGGGTCGGGAAGAGCCCAATGTGAGAACCTTGGTGGGTCGGAGCATCGACGTCACATGCAGCCGAGCCGTGGTTCAGGAAGCGGCACCTACACGAGCCAGTGCTGCTGCATAGGTTTTCATTGCTCACTGGGCTGGGTGTGTCCCAACAAAGTGATCCTATTGTTGCCCAAATCAACCGATGGGTTGGGTGCTAAAATTGACACCAAATGTAGCTTGAGGTTGGTCAAGCTTGGGCCATCGCTGAATTCGGCCTGCTTGCTCAACTGTTTCACTGTGATCAAGCTTAATTGAGCTTGCAAAGTCACCAGGAAACAAAAGAAGGTTCACCTGCTTAGGTGTCAGCAAACTCAAGCGCTCCTTCTGACGGGGGGCCACCATCTTCAGGATTGACACCCCATGGTTGGGCCCGAGCAGAGGGACCACAGTTGAGTGCGGAACCAGGACTGGGACTGTAAAGTGGTGTTTGCTCAGGCAGATGCTCCAGCAGCAAATCTTGCAGCGGCAGCTGGCGCAGTATGGAATCCAAACCTCGGTCGGACGTGTGAGGAAAGAACTGATTGGTCACCAAGCCGTCCTTGGCACTATTGATTTCCCACACTTGTCATATTGCTGATGCTTTTTGAGTGGCTCTATGGATCTCTAAAGGTTGTTGGGTAGTTTCCCAGATAACTTCTGACTATATAGAGTCGAGACGTTAGAGCGCCTTGAAGTCATGTCATGATTAACTGATTAAATCTGATTATAAGTATGTGTGTATATATATATATATACACTGTAACACCCCCCCCCAAAAAAAAAAAAAAAAAACGCGGTGAGAATGACGCGTCACACATAACTGCTGGTCGTTGTCCTTACACGACGCAAGGTCGCAGGGGACATCTCAGTACGAAGCCCCAGGAATGGAACATGCTGGAAATCAAGAGAGTGGAGCACGGATTGAAACATGACTACAAATTGGCTTGTGGCCATGTGCAATTCTGTGTCCCAGAAGTCTTTCAAAACTGCATCCCTGCTACTGGCCAATCATTCAATAGTAGGAGCAGTTCCCAACGAATTGAATGTGGATGGCAAAGACTTCCAAGAACGCCGCTGATGACAAAGAAGATGTAAAGGAAGCTTGGTTTGGCCAGATATTAAGCCTAACTTATTGAGCCTCGACCTTGCATGTTTCACAGATTTTGACAGCCTGTTTGCAGCTGAGCGAACTCGGCTCAAGGCATTGCCATTGTACATATCCCCCCATCCCAATGACTGGCACTATCCGGGGCCTGAATCCGTCCAAGAAGTTCCCAGAGTTCAACGGCTACGCGGTCTTCATGAATGAGCAGCTGGAGGGAAGCATGGATGAGGATTGCCTGGCTTCGAGGTGTTTTGGCTGGGTTGGACCGTGCTTGACATAGGATGGGCGAGCTGAAGAACTTTTCAGTTTGAGCATCAAAGCCCACCACAGCAGCTTTGTTTTTGACATTCCTTTGAGAGATGAAAGAGGATGATCAGGCTGACACCAGTAACTTCGGCAAGCCATCGAGCTCCTGTGCCTTGAGGTTGAGAGCCAAGTGGGATGCTTTCACGGAGCGTCAGAAGCAAGCCTACCAGGAGAGGCTGAAACGAGGAGTTGCAGAGATCTATGACATGTTATACTAGTAGGGTCCAAACCGGCCACTGCAATTTTTTTTGCCGCAGATCCACTGGGCTATTGGAGGGTTCATGTCAGTTCCTGCTGCGGCGCACCGCAATGCCTCACTGCTCCACAATTCCTGATATAGATCCTACTGCTGTCATAGAGGAGTCTACAAGGGTCGATGGAATATTTCTTAGTGTTTGCCGCTTACAATTCAACCATTGTTGAGACGATCTTGAAGGTACAACCCCGTATCCCAGATTGCCATGTATCCAGGAGCGAGTTCCCGAAGGACCTGTGGTACGGGTGCGGCTGAATCCTCCCTTTCTACAGAGGGCTAAGCGCCAGCGCACTGAGTCTTGGCATTGCATTTAATTTGTGTTAAATGTTTGCCATGTCGCAGGTCTAAAAGACAAATATGTGTTGTGAATGTGCATGCTGCCCAAGCCATGCATGTTTGACGATGTTGGTGCCACTTGTACTTCAAAACAAGCATGGCTCAGGAAGTGGTCACTGAAACTTGAGAAGCTTGCAGATCATGACCCTACGTCCCAAACTCAGCCAGTTTGTGTTGTGCAGGCCAGCTCAAATGTTCTGCATTTGATGTTCTCTCCCTAGGTCGGTACAGGACCTCAATACAGCTGGAGTTTTTGCTCCTTCAACATTTGAAGTTCCTTACTTTTCCGTTCCTGATCTTCAAAGGGTGTGTGAGCATATCCACCTCTCTGGCACAGCAAGTGGCTAGACAAAACGGGTGGGGTGCGTGACCATGCGTCCCTTAGAAGAGCTCGCTGTGACTTTCTTGACCTGACTGTAAAACTGTACACAACTGTAAAGATATTTTGCGTTCGGGCTGTAACAGGTTTTGGCTTCCAACTTGAACATCGATTTGTTGAACACTTCTCAAATGCTCCCCACATTGACACTTTTAAATTCGCTCTCCATCGGCAGCTGCCAATGCAGCATGGCCGAATACCCTTGAGAACTGGTTGCGGATCAGAGAAATCGGCAATTTTGTCCTGATATGGCTATTTGCTAGGCCAATCTGCTTGGTCATAGCAGTGTGACTCATGGCATGCTCATGGCAACCGTGTGGGCATGTTCCACCAGGCATTTATTCTGTTGTGACGTTCATTAATGCTGAGATTCCATGAGTCCTCGTTGAACCGGATCAGCCTCAGGAGTTATCTCGCTTCCCGATTGAAGGTCCTTCCATAAAGCAATGATTTCAGATGTTGATGTGGTCCATTTGTTCAGGAGATGAGATTGAGTCTTTCCTAATTTTGCTGAGGGTTTCATCGGGAGACTTGCGGGCTCCGCACAGATGGAGCCAATCTGAGAGCTCGAGGAACGCGTGACGAAAGAGCCGCTGAGATCAAGTTTCAACCAGCAGCTGGTCTTGCAACACAAAGCAATGAAGACCACCTGGTGACCTCCTGTTCCGGGCCAAACCTGTTCTTCAACCTGGTGGACATGTTTCCACAGGGGGTGTCACCAATCACTGCTGGCTCCAAGTATCTCGAAAGGTGTTGTTGATGTACCATAATGATCTAGAATGTATATAAATCTCCACCTCAGACGCCGCTTGTTTTGTGCACCTTCAACATCTCCAAGCCTCTCCGTTTGAGGCTGGAATCTGCAAGGGGATCGCAGGTCAGGAGCTGGCTGAAGTTGTCCACAGTCCAGCTTGGATGCACTAAGCCCGACATGTGTGTATATATATTATATATATATTAGTATATAATATAATATAGTATAATATTGCGTAAATATGTTCCGAGGATGCTATAAGTTCTAGAGAGGCACTGCATTAAGTTGCTTTCGAGAGTTGTGTGTGGCATCTCCCCCGCCAAAGCACCCTTGCTGAAGCCGCACAGGCACAGACCAAGCCTCCTGCAGGCCGCTGCTGGTTTAGCCTTTCTTGAAACATTAGCAGAAGGATGAAGAAGGTAGCGCGGTCACCATGCACAATGGTGCCGGTTCTTGTGGAGCGATGTAGAGCGTCCAAATGCTTGTGTCAGGCCCCATACAGGTAGCAGATAGGTTGATAGTTTCTGCAGCCAATGAACAGCACGATCGTAGTTCTTAGTAGGTGGATTGCATGTGATAGATTACATGGGCTGAGACAAGCCGTTGCCGCCAGGTCTCTCAACAATGGCACCCCCGGGAATCTCCAGCACAACGCCCATCAAGGCGGTGTATGCTTTTCTTTTTTGAAAAGTGGTCCTAATATAGCTGAAGGTCTAAAGATCATTGCGATTGAGAATAGCTTTAGCAGATTTCATACATAGCCGTGGCTTGTGGATACTGTAGTCCTGCATGGCTTCGGCACTTGGTTTAGGTCTGTCTTGTGTTTGCTCCCATAGATCGCGGAAAACATTGCACACGGGACAATCGAAATGTCACGTTGCTGTTGCTGTTATTTTTTTGTGAACCCATGACCTTCATGACCTCATATATATAGAGAGAGAGGGAGATAGATTGACCAGGCTGGAAGCAGTGTTGCCGTGCCTGGCAGCAAGCTGAGAGAATGTGAATGCAGCTGAACGCTCGTTGGTTGGATCAAGTACGAAAAAGGCAGGTCACTAGTCCTTGAATCACCGAGGAGACAAACCAACACCGAAGGCCAATGTTCTTGCTTTGCATCGGGAAGCATCGGAAAGACCAGAAGCAGACGTTCCGATTTGTGCACCCCTTGCTATTTGATCACGCCGTCGAGACATGCTTTCCCGCTAGGCTCCAGTGCCCACAAGCACAGGCACGAATGATGCTGGCGCAAAAGCAGGAAAAATCCTGCTTAATCTGGTCAACAACAAGGAGGACTAGAAATCTCCAAACTGACACACCAGCACGTGTTGTTTTGAATTAACTTGGCTTGTAGGTGCTGTATATATATATATATGTGTGTGTGTGTGTGCGTATGTATTGTCCAAAGCCAATCCAGCGCTCACTACGTGTCTCATTGACACAGGCACAGTGCAGTGAAAGCTTTTGCTAACGTTTTGCAGGAGCGCCCACCGCAACAAGCGGGTGCAGTCCTTTTGCAACAGTTAAAGGGCGGCGGCACACGCAAGGTGGAGTCAGGCCCGGTACTGGCCAAAAGTTTGAAGCCGAGTGACGTGACGGAAACAGAAAGCTTGCAAAATCAACCACTTTCCCCTTACTTCACCGAGCCACTCATTGCGACATATTGCGACACTACCATGCACTGCCATACGCCGAACAAGTACTGTCCTGAGTGATGCCCAAACGGCCGAAAATTGACACATTGTGCATAGGGCGCCCTGACGCTGGCGCCGGCCTAGCCCTATTGCAACAGGTCAAGGCAGGCAGCTTGAGCCTCAGAGAGCCACAGCAACGTGAACTGCAACAGGAACATCAGTTGGGATCATGTCATGTGAAATTTGAAGCAGCACTTTGATGTGCAGGGAGGAGTCCGAAGCGATGCCACTGCGTACGGGGCATAGTGCGACGACCTGGCCCAGGCCTAGGTGCACCTCCAAAGAACGATGCATGGGCGTACGACGGCCAGCTGCCTCAGACAGATGTCAATGTTCTAGGCATTCTAGGCAAACAGGTGTGTCATTCACAGGTGACAGCCGCTGGTGGTCTTGGGATGAATGGGGTCACGGGAAGGTGGGCTCCAGAGCTTTCTTTCAGCTGTAGCACTCATGTCCTAAAGCTGCTGCAACACTCCTTATTACCCGCAAGCGTCTGGACATCCCCCTTCCGCAGGCTGGCAAGAAGGGGAAGACCGGGTGGAACGGAGCAACTCAGATGGAATTGGAAGGTGTTTTTTTTTCTCAGCCGGCCGGAGAGGTCAAACAGGCGCCTAAAACCGGGGGTGCCAAGCAAGGACTGGTGGGGCTATGGCCAGGACTGGGAAGACTGGCCAATAGCCCAGCTTGAAAGATGATGCTTGATGGAAGATGTGTGGAGATGCCAGACGCATCACCCGAAACTCCTTCATGCAGATCCAGGCACGAGCGCTGGGTGCCAACACCACAGGGCAGGCTGGCAAAATGGGCCCGCAATGATCGCACGATGTTTTGTGGTTGGATGAAACCAGTCGGCGCGGATGAATATGTCATGACCTTGTGTGATTTGTCCTTTGGCGCTTTCAGGTCAAAGAAGGGCAAGGCAAAAGCAGGTGCAGGCCCTGGAAGGGTTCAGGTGCATGTTATACCGGTCTCATCATGATGTCCATGGAGCTTTAGGTCAGACTGCGCTGGCAACATGACAGTTGTTGATCTCACAAGCCTGTCGATTTGCTCAACTTCGTTCAATTTGATCCGCATAAGGCCGACAGGTCAGCAGCCAGGAGAGGGCACTTGGAGACAGAGTCGCATTCCCCACTCATATCATCCAGAGGTGGTATATAACTTGTCAAGGTCTTTTACATTCAGCATGAGATTATTGATGGGGAGCACTCCAGGGGTGTGCACCAAAATTTCTTGTCAGGAGACTTCAGATGCCTCGCGGGGCATCCCAGAACCAAAAAGAGGGTTGATGACAGACAGGTCAAGTTTGCATTTGTGCTGTGATCAGTTCAGCTGCGCTCTTGAGGAACGATTCTGATGATTCACCAAACCAGCCGCAGGCAGACTTGACGAATTGACGAAGGTTTTGTCTTTTTGAGCGCGAAGAAATGTCCAGGCCGGGGCCAATTCGCTGGGAACCCTAGAGCAGTCACTTCACATCGTGTTCATCTCGTCCAGCGACTTCATGTGAGTTTCAAGCTTCAATGGGGCAGTGTCACACGCGTGACCAAGCCCAGGCGATGGCGTAAGCCAGCGGCAGGAAGAGGCAGGATCACGATTGTTCGAACAGTCCCTCATATCGAATAGGCAGGTTCAGGAATCAAGTCACTTGTTGAACAAAGGTCAAGGCGGTCAAGGGTCAAGTAGTGAAGGTGTTTATCGACCATCCATTCGTTCATTGATTCATTCGTTCGTTCGTTCGTTCGTTTGTTCATTCATTTGCGCAGGTGCCGGCAAAGGTCAGCCAGCGAGCACTGACAAGAAGACTCGTTGGAAGCCAGCCGCTGCCTCAAGCGCCCCGAGTACTTCCGCAACAGCTTTAAGCACCTTCGATTGATGGGCCACCGTTTTGCTTTCTCAGTTTTGCTTGTTCACGTGCTGTTTACAAGTTGTTTCTTGTTTGCATTTGGGTTGTTGTTTGTCGAGATTTGCACGCTCCGCCTTCAGTGCAAACGGATTCTAGGCGGCCAATGGAAAGTGATTCACTGAACCAGTGATCGATGGACAGTTTCAAGACAGGTCCGAGCATGGCAGGCCAAAAGGTGACCGTATACTTTAACTTCAAAATGTGTTTGATTATGTAGTTTGAGGATGAAGAATCCAGAGGAAACGGGTGGTTGTTCCCAATCGCAGTTTTTGCCAGAAGGGGTGCTCAATGGTCAGCAATAAACCTTACACAGAGGACCGCGATCAGGAAGTATACAAGACAGACAGGTTTTGCAGGGCAGTACTGCAAGATGTCAGACGTCTGAGCCGAGCAATGCTTGGATACATTTGCTGGAGGGAATGTCATTTTTGATGATCAGGGATCCCATGTTGTACTATTTATATATGTGATAGACACTGATAGACTATATGTTACTATTATATTGTTTAACTTGCTTTTGTATCAAACGAGGCTGGCCAAGCTCGGGCCTGTAGATTAATGGTATATGAGTTTCGAATAATTTTTCATGCCGGCAAACGGCGGTGCATGTGACGAGCGGGCAGAGCCAAGATCCAGGTTCATAACCCTCAGGTTGTGGGTCCATTTGGCACTGTGTTTGGAAGAAATCCTGCACTACAAAAAGGCGACAAGACGCTGCAAAAGGTCCTAACACATGTTGGGTTTGAAATTAAAAAAATTAACGTTTGTCTGTCCAATCTGGACCTTGCTCCGACCTCCTTGATGGATACCCGCACCTTTGTTCATATCACTTGTCATTTGGCTCACCATCCCAACAACCAATGCGACCACAACGGTCGTGAGTGAACTATTGTGAGCTATGGAGCTTGAACACTGCTCATCCTCAACTCCACCTAACTTCTTAGCCGATTGGTTGTGGGATGTGTCACCAACAAAGCGCAATGTGCCACCTCTGGCGGCCGAGTATGGTTTCAACGAGCTATGTAAAAAGAGTCCGGCTGCCAAATTGCAAGTGAATGTGCTTGCAGGTTGTTGAAGCTAATAGCTTCTTGTTACTAGTAGTAAGGCCAGAAGCCCCTAGTAGCGATGGGTTGTTGAAGCTATGTTCCTGATTGGTATCGCGTGTTTGGGGGACCCCTGAGACCGAAGTTCGTCAACATAATGTCGTTTGTGCTGGCCTGCTGAAAGTGGCTTTGAAGCAGCCATCATATTCAGCGATTTAGCACATGTACGGGCAAAGTTTCAACAGCTGATTCTCCTTTATCTACTATGGTGATCTAGGTTTTTGGACTTGAGAAACTGTTTTTTGGCGAATTGTTCGAGCTTTGTGCCAATCCCACGTGCAAGTGATTGAGTCCTTCTTACTTGGTGCGTTTTCACAGTAGCTCTCCTGCGCTGCCTGGCGTGCCACTTCTTCCGAAGCCATGCAGTCGCTGGTTGCTGGCCTCCATGAGTTTTTCGAGAGGGCCAACCAACTGGCATCTTGCCGGCAGCATGCTTTTTTGCTATATTTTGGAAGGCTTTAAATCATGTCACTGGCCCCATTAGTGAGTCTTGAGGCTATGAGCTCCTGCGGGTCTTGTTACGGACCTGGCCGTGATCGACAACCTGTGGATTCGTCCTTGTTGAGTTTATTCGACGTGAGCCCCTTGGGCGATGTTGATCCAGAGGCCGGAAGTCAGGAGGGGCACTTCGAGCACAACTAGTGGGATTGCTGTGATCCCAAGATGCTCGATGTTCGACATGAAAATCATGAAAATTACTGTATAAATATACATGCGATCTGGTAGCTTCTTGTTGCTACTAGTAGTAGTAATGCATAGTAGTGCCCTTTGTTACTAGTAGCGGTGCACTTGTTACTAGTAGCGGTGCCTTTGTTACTGGTAGGTCCTGGTAGGTTCTCAAAGCACATCGCTCATTTGTTAGGCGGTGCGGGGCACCCAGAACGGCGCTCGATCCCTGCACGAGGGCAGGGTGGACGAGGCGATCAGAGAATTCCATGGTGTGTGCAACCGACTACTCAGGAGAGGCTGAGATGACGATGTGACACAGAGGTGTGACGGTGTGCGTATGTACATTGTGTGGAGCAGTTCAGTTTGCTAGCTAGTGCAGCTGCATTCCCCACATTCCCTGCAGCCTCTGGTCACATGTGCCTTTATTGGCGTGTAGTCTCCAAGTGAGCCAAGATGATCCAAGTGACCTGGGCGCCTCAGGAGCGCAGTTGCACGGACCAACTTGGGTAGCGCGTACTTCGAACGTGGCGATGAGGATGCCGCCCTGCACTGGTTCAAAGAAGCCCACCGTCCCTTTGGCATTTTTACCATGATTACCCAGCTGTGCCCAAGTCATTTGTAGCATGACTCCACGAATCATGTCCCACTAGCAGTGCTAGATAGTGATTCAATTTCTTGCTGTGTAAGGCTTGGATCCGCGAAGCTGCCGGATCCTCCGCGCTGTGGCAGTGCTGGAGCAACGCAGCGGGAACCACCAGGAGGCGGTGTGGCTGCTGCGGAACTACTTGTGTCTTGGTTGATATGTTTTGGACATCTGTAGAGCACAAAGTGGCCCTTGAAGATTGGGACTCTATATGACTCTCTATGTATATATATATATATCTATGTTTATATATATATAGTTAACATAGTTAACACTGAGCTGCTTGTTACGAGCACGATGTTTTCCGATGACTGTTGGATGATGCTGAAAGTTTCTGGTCTAGGGAGAATCTGGCGACATCAAAGCAAGATTCTTGCAAATGGGGGATGGCAGGTCTGACTCGAGGACAGTCACCCTAAGAAGACCATAGAAGACCCCAAATAGCAAGATTAAGTATGGGATGGTCCGGGTAGTTCTACCATTGCACGCAACTGGTGAAGACCAGCATCTGTTCCTGACAATTCTACAGGCTGGTTGGAGTGGAGACTTGTAACGGTACTGTACAAAATTCGGAACTCTTTTTGGTGCCGAATCTGAGGAACGAGGTGGACGAGTTCAACATGCAGGAGGGAATGCTGTGAGCGGTCAGTCAGGTTTTGCACCCTCCAACCAAGTCACCCCAGCACATAATTTATTGATCAAAGTATGTAAATGTTTTAAGTTCATTCGACAAAAAGAACTGCAGTCCGTTGGAACCTGACCTTTGAAATGATGAGGGTTTCGTTGAAAGTCACCCTAGAATTCAAGGCCATAGCTTGATTGCGCGCTGCCCGAAAGCACGAAGAGTTCCTGTATATACTTGCGTTGACCGATTTGACCAGCAGCCACATGTCCAGCAGGTGCTCCACCAGTTAGCAATGCTCTACCGAGATCGTCAGCAGTGGACGCAAGCTGGCACATGCTTCCGGCGGCTCTTGAAGGCCTTGTCCAGCCTAGCAGAGAGCACGCCGAGCTGCTCTAGTGATTGTATCAATCCTGAAATGTGTTCCGTTGATTCAAAAGCTGCAGTTTTGGCTTTGCCTCTCCTTTCTTGTGAAGGGCAAAGCGAGCTTGCTTTGTGCAGGCCGATCCAACCAACCGGGAGATTGCAAAAGAGCTTCAAGTATGTTTGGATCGGTCATCAGCCTATGGAGATGGATTAGAGCTGCGCTGTGATGAGCGGTGGCCTTGCTTGCACTTGATGTAGGAGTACAGAACTTGTAAAGTGCGTTGTTCATGTTTTCCCCATCTATCAGCTATCACTGCCGTAGATGACACCAAGACTGCAACCAATTCAGGTCAGCGGAGGTTCTCCTTGGTCCTGGCCCCTGCGAAGACAGGCACTGAATGCCACTGATAAATGTCGCATGATTGCCATCAAACATGTTTGAGGGACCACAAGGCCCGCGACATTCAAGCGCTCAGTTTCAACTGCAATGCACGTTGAAACTCAGAGAAGACGTTCTAAAGTTATGGTATAGTATACATACTTGCACTGCTGAAGGCATGGATCACAAGTTGATCTCAAAGTCCAGATTGCCATCACTGATGTACTTGGTGCTCATTAATTGTTGGTCAATTGATGGATCTTGCGTGCAGGTTTTCCAGCCACGGACGACCTACAAGCCAAGAGGTTCGCCCCTGGGAGATGCGTGGCCGAATCCTTGGTTATCAGGTCACAAGCTATAAATGGCTGTAGCTCTGCAGCAACTTCTGTCATGTTGTGTCCAATCCTTCAGTTGGCTACTGACTCCCAGCTTGCACACTAGGGCTTGGCTGCCAAACAGCCCATGCAGACGTGCTTTGAGTGCTCTAAGGCCGTCAAGCAGACCGTTTCATTCTCAGCATTTTCATCGGAGCTTTGATGCCGCATCTTGCTTTCCACTGAGGTCGATCAGGTTCAGTGGACCGCAGGGAGCCCGAGATTGGGCTCATTTGGCCGGCAGACGCCGGTTACAGCACAATCAGTCACAGTTGGGTCCAATCCGACCCCAGGATGGAGGACCTGAAAAAATAGCAACGCATATTGCATAAAGAAAAATGCAATTGGTGTAAACACATGTACAAATCACCTAGTTGTGCAAGGCACGTTTTCAGCTTAGGCCGCGCAGGCTCTGCAGAACGCCCGGAGCCCCTGCACAGGAGTTTGCGAGTGTGTTCGGCATAGATGGGCATTTTGTGAATGGGGTTCAAGAAGTTCTTGATGGCGTTTATTCCTTGTCTAGCTTGTAAGTATGTACGATACTATACGTACCATTAAATATGTGGAGGGATAGCATGGGACAACTATTTGCAAGCAGCCCAGCATGCAACCAGCATACATGTTTATTTAGCAGTTCTATTATATTATGACTCTTATGACTGAATAGCTCTTGGGAAAACATGCAAGCTTTGGAGATTTGGCGAGGCAGATTGTCAATGGGTGATCGTCAGAAACCTCAGACTGAAAGATCAGAAGGACAACAGATGAGAACAAGTGGTCACACGTGTGTTCGCAGTGGTCAGATGACTGGCAGGTTTGCAGGAGGACGGTTGTAAAGCGGGGTCCCCTTTCTAGCCCTTCCACTGTTTGGGAATTGGCACGAGGCCGCGCCGGCTCAGCTGAACGCCAGAAGCCATGATTGACTCTAGCGCTTGCAAGTCCGCTGCAGCTTCCGAACCTCAGAATACTGATATATAGTGCCGATGGAAATAGGATATAGTGATTTACCAGAATTATCAAGTATGCTTATGATCATATGCGCAGGTCGTTTTAGTTTGCACACGGTTCAGGCATATTCAGAGAGAGAGAGAGAGGGAGGGGGAGAGAGGGAGAGATAGAGAGAGAGAGAGAGACGGAGAGAGGCACATGGAGGCTCCACCTTTACCATCTTGGCTCGGATCATTAGAAGTGGCTGAGGTCGGCTTGGATCAGCTGATCGCATCAATCCTCAGTCCTCAGACCCCCAAACACAAAACCTGCAAACACAATTTCAGAGAAGAGAGAGAGAGAGGAGTTCCAAGTGGAAATAATTAGGATGCAGGTTCTTAAACTTGGGCACCGTCGGTTTGCTTTTCTTTAGATTGGCCTTAGGGGCCAATATCATTTTGTGTGGCACTATTTTCACCATTTGGCTCCATGCAGTTCGTGTGTTTCAATTAAATGCATGAATAGACTTCTGGATTGTTTCATGCCATTCATGAACACACGGTGAAGATCAGCGTGAAAACTTCAAGAGGAAGACACATGATGAAACCCGCATAACAAGTACATGACCCGAGAATTTTGAAAACAGCACACGTGTAAACATAGAACGAGCTTCAGTCAAGATGGAGCCTGCGCCACGATGCCAACGTCGCTTCTTACAAGCCTCACAGGCAAGGTCAGGAGGGTGGTTCATGGTGAAAATCCAAGAAGCGGAAACAATGTTTGCAACCTCTACACTGTACCTGTACATACCTGCACATGTCATGCTCCAAAGTGTGACTAGTTGAATCATGTAACTCGTCTCCTTGATTTGTTCGATGACATGGTTCCTGAAGCGCCAGCCCTTGTCACTGCATGATGTTCAGTTGGTGCTGGTGGTCAGGCGTGTGACAAAGAATGCTGTACCTTGATGCATGATACATTTGTAGCTCATATAAACTAGGCTACCAACACTCCAGCATCTCATGTGAAAATATCCGTTGGATTTTGGATTCACCGGCGGTTGACCAGGGTTGGCTTAGCGGTGAAAGTGTTGTTTGCCTATTATGGTATGCCTGATGAACTATGGCCTGCTTTAAGCCAAGGGCTCCTCCAGTGCCAGTTCGACAGGGCCGGGCAGCTAAGGATTATGTTCACGAATAAGGTTATCGAGATCTTCTTGCTTCGCAGACAGCTGCAAGCGGAGAGGAAAGAAAATGAACAGTTGAAAGATGACCTGCGGAGAGCAGATGATTTCTTCTATGAAAAGGAGCGGGACATGGGCGGCTCGCTTTGGAAAACATATCCATCCTGTGATTAAGTAGCATTTTGATGTATTTTGCGACCAATCATCTACAATTTGGAAGTTCGGGAGGGTATCCATGAAAGACGATCCAGACGACTACCGCTTAATCTTATTAGGGCACGTTCGGATCTTTCGGCTTCAAAAAGTGAAGGAGCATCCGGTGCAGAGCTCACAGAAGCTGGGCTGTTGGGATGAGAAGGCCAAACATGTATCGACATGTCAAGGTCAGCATTGTTATGGGGATGTTATATAACTGCTTGGTATTGAGGTGCCGGCTTTGCGTTGGCCACCTGAGTTCTTTATAATTAAGTGAAGTCTAGGGCAGTGGCTCGGATGGCGGACTTTGATCTCCTACGTGTTTAAGAAGTTGCGCACCAATTTCATCCAATTTCAGTCCGCTCAGGACCTGTTTTTGGGCATTTTGACACCTCATCTCGTTCTCAGGGCTCACCAGCTCCAGCTCCTCCTTTGTTCTCTTGAGCCCCTTTCTTCTTTCTTTTAGCCCACTCCTACTTACTGTAATCAAGTAGGCGCCTGCTTAATCAAGTAACTAAGGGAGTAAGCTAGCTACGTTACTAAAGCTTCTAATGACTGGACGATCTGGACGCAGGATAGCTCACGCACTAATGATTTGGTTCCTAGATGTTCCTAGATTTTCAGGGAAACTTCAGGTTCAACTCATGGCACCAAGCCACCTTAGTCCACGTCACATCTCGTCTCCTCTCGATTAATCTTGGACCTTTTCCCAACTTGTTCATTCACTACATTGCCACATGTTATGAGCTTTTCGTTCGTCTTGACGTGTGATATCGATTCATTGTACTTGGGATGGCCGCAGCGATTGGGTTGGGAAAGGAATTTGTAGGGGGAAGTCATGAGAGGTCCATCAATCTGGGGCAAAGGCGTGCACGCAGCCGATGCAGCCTACAACTGTGTATTTATTGGTGATGTTTCGCCAAGAACAAAAGAACATAAAAGAACTAAAATGCAAGTCAGAAATAAGGCGGACACGAAGCTGGAGGCATCGATCAAGTCAATCAGGTTCGGTTTTCACACATATCGTATATGACCATGACATATTATGATGCAGCATTCAAACCACAAAAAGCAATTGCACTATATATTGCAACTTCAAAACCACAGAAATGGACACTAGTCGTCGGGGTTGAGACCAGCTGAGAAACGCATGTGGCAAGCACGGCAAGAAGAACCAGCACACGGCTGATGCAGTGCATGCCAACAAGGCGAAAACATAACAAGCTGGACTCTGTATGGTTGAAGCTTTTGATCATGTGGCTTGTCCAATCATCCAACTGGTGGCCTTCCAACTTTCAACCTACTTCTCGTACGTCGTATGGGATCGCACGGCTAAAGAATTGAATCTGTTCCTACTAGCTTCTTGTTACTACTAGTAAGGCACCTGTTACTACTAGTAAGGCACTTGTTCCTACTAGCTTCTTGTTACTTCATACCTTTTTGTCCCCACTTGTTCAGTAAAATCACCTCATTCTGCCATGTTCCCAATCGCGAGCCATGGGCCCCCCGCTCACGCACACACAAACCAATACCGCATACTATGGAATTGTCATTGTCAAGTCCTGTCAGTACTGCATGCTTCTTTTGCGGTGTGTTTGAGGAAATCGGTTCGCTTTGCTAGAAGTCATAGCTCAACATCATTGGCTCTCTCAGTTGCTGGGCTTCAAGCAGAAGGATCATGATGCAGGGCCTAGAATTTACTGTACGGATGTCCAAGGTTTGGATACCTACAGCGCTCATTATAACTGTCAATGGAATGAGGGCCAAACAAGTTCAGCAGCATGAGACATGAGGGTAACCGATTTAAAGTGCAAGGTTTGGGGGTGATTGATGCACTTGACATCCTGAGGATGCTGAGGGCGAGGACTCCATGCGGATAAGGCGATTGAGCAGAAAGCGGCGTTCTCGCATGTCCTCGGTTGCTCTTTCGGCCATGGACGAATGCAGCACATTGGAAGAGGTGGCGGGGCAGGCAGTTAAAGCGAGTAAAAGGGAGAGGGTTTTGTGAAGGAAGTAATGAGTGATGTGTGGAAAGAATGAGTTAAGAAGTTAGAAGCGACTTGCAGGATCTCATGAGTGGGCTTGTGCTCAGTTGCGGTCCCCTTTTACTCAGCAGATGCATTAGCAACACGTAGTTTTGGCATGTTTTTGCTTCGGGTACAGACGTTTGGCACGTTCTTCGCTTGCAGTTTTCTTTTTCCTGGTGTTGTTAGTCCATGCCCTAATCCGCATCAATGAGGAAAACAAAAGGTTGCGAGAAATTATTCGAGATCTGGAGCGCAGCAACTTGGCTCTATGCAGCTTGCAGGTTGCTGTTTATCTCGGGCCCGGTCAGAACAAATCCCTTTGATTCCCTTTGTTTGATTTCATGTTACATCATGATAACGATGCCGAGAAGGTGAGATTTGCTGGTCCAGGTGTATCCGATGAAAGCCTTCAAAGTTAAAAACCATCAGAAGATTATACGGCGGTGGTTGTCAGTGTGAGATAGGGCTGACACACAGATGTGGACGGAGAGGTGGTCGTGATGGTTGTGTAGGAGACAGACCGGCCGGGCGGAAGCAGCAAAGCAGAATTGAGGGAAGGAAAAAGATGAAAAAGGCAGCGTATTGAACACCAGACATTCTCACCGTAGTGCACTCATAGAAGAAGACTTTGCTCATACGGGTGCATATTGTAGTGTGTCAATTGGGCTCTCGGCTTGTGTAGTGCGTGTGTGTGCCATGTTTTGTGTGTACGCTAGCCTGTTCAACACATTGTATTTTACGTTATAGCAATGTCAATGCCCTGAGTGCCGCTGCCTGAGTGCCGCTGAACACAATTGTTTTCATGTTTGATCACGCATATGTGTACCGTGTCATTCGAGATGCAATTAATGAATGTGCTCAACCAAAGTCTTTTGCAATACAACGTGTCGAATGCTGTACATGCTGTAGGTATGCAATGTGTGCCCTGATCATCTCCGTGCTATGTGCAAACTGCATAGTGCAGCTTTGCCATGCAGGTGTATTGGCTGTTTTCTGGCGGCATAGTGCAGCACCGCACATATTCAGGAGTTTCTTTGTTTGCACACTACTCGCTACAGCACGTGCTCGCGCACATCAATTTGAACACACTTGTGGACTATGCCCTCAAACATGTGTCGTGACAACTGTACCGTCCAGTTTTTTGGCTGCAGCTTGAACAAGCAATGTGCGGTGTAGTCTTTGGAGTGTGTTGTGCACACTGTAACATCTCTAAGGTGCGGCTTGTAAGAATGTTGCCGGAAATGCGCGGTGTGCATGTGTGTGTGTGTGTGTTGTGTTTTGCACGTGTTTTGCAAGGTTGCTGCTTGGGCCGTCTATATTTATATACTGTATGTAGATGCTAAGGTGGGGCGAAAATGCTCTACCTTTTGGAGTACGAAATATGTATGTTTGATTATGTTACGTTTGTATATGTTTGCTTTCCCCAACATTGTCCATTGCCTTGAAGTCCGTGGAGGGTGGGGGCAGGAAGTCCGGGATGAGATGAATAAACACAAGATTCACAATGGTCTCAAAATGCAAACTTGTAGGTTCAGGTTCTAAGTCTTTAAGTATCACTGGAAAGCTCTGGCTAACTAGCATGCTGTGCGCTCTATACTCTAACCTTCAACATCAATCAACTGAGGCAGGGATGACGACAGCTATGAAGAGGAATCAGAAGAAGAAGAACAAGAAATCGAAGAGGAAGTCCCGGCCTCCCCAGGCTGGCGAAGAGTGTTCAGCATTGATGAAGGAAACTGTGTGGCTTTTAGAGAGTACTTGAAAGAGTGGAAACATGCGAGCGTCAACAGTGTCATGCCAGGGTGTGGCGACACAAACCAAGAAGATACCGGAGGCAACCAATCTCAGGAGTGTCGGCCATTTGCCTCGGTGTATTGCAGAAATCAAGTCTCAAAACTCCACCAGTTGGTCCAGCAAGTGGCACTATGATCACCAAGTGGCACTAAGGGATTCTAAGACAATGGTGTTGGCGACGCGATTACAGTGGCCTGACAATGACACAAGCCTGTAGCATATCAGCCGTAGAATGTCAGACAAAAAATGCAAGCTGCCAGCATTTTGGCTGCCTGTTTGAACCTCCAAAAATTTGACAAACCTTACAGGACGCACAGGATTTGGAGATGAGGGATGAATTGCAAGTTCATCATTGGGAACGCGTCACAATGAAGTTGATGATGAAGTTGATGATGAAACTCAGACGTGCATAGAGCACTTCGTTACTCGGGCTTCACTGACTGCGAGTGACTCATCTGGCGCACATTTCACACTCGGTAAATAGTGCCTTAATGTGTGTATAAGCAGAAACCCTAAGCCGTTTGGCCTCAGCCGTTGAGCCGCATGTGATTGCCATTGTCCTGCCCTGCTGGGCACCGAGGCTGGCCATAGGTACTGCCCACTGAGATCTGTTTAGTGATGGCATTGCCTTCAGATCCATCTCCATTTGGTTTTGCTCAATGGAAATCCCGTGGTCAGGCCTTTTCCATTGTAAGGGTCATTCAGAGTCATAGCGAAGCAACAAATTCTTACACATCCTCTTGGATTTACTGGATTTGTCCAAGCAGTCCCGAGACTCGCGGGACTCCCAAGACATGAGCAAAATTGCCAACAAAGCCGCATTGTGATGAGGAAAGAGGAAGAAGCAGAGGTCCAGAACATTAGGAAAGAGGAAGAAGCAGAGACCAAGAAGAAAATCGATGCTTGGGAATGCATCAGCCAAACCCCGGGGACTCTGAGAGAGGAGGGTATCCTGATGAGGTTTCGCCCGGGCGACACGGAGGTCCAAGTGACAACTTGTCCAACAGTAGAGCACCTTGACTGACGGAACAAAAAAAAACAAACAAAGAAACGGGGCCCAGGACGGCATGAAGCAGGAGCTAGACCAGCAGAAGAAGGAGTCGGAGGAAGCCAAGCAGCCACACAGCCGAAGAGTGAATCAGAATTCAGAATACCCCAATACCTCGCGCCGAACATGGAAGCTTTTTAATGGTAAAGAGAATTGTTGTGAGGACAACTTGTCCGTGCATACCACCAACCACCACACAGACATACCACCTTTATTCCCAACCAGTATCTCAAGTGCTACACGTGATGTCCAGCAATCAATGCTGAATGTCCTGTGTTAAATAAAGCTTAGGAGCAAGGACGCTACTAGGGGCTCCTGGCCTTACTACTAGGAACAAGAAGCTACTAGGGGCTCCTGGCATCGCGACTAGGAGCAAGGACGCTACGAACCGAGCTTTTCTTTTTCTCGTCACTCTCTCCTCCCGTGGCCGATCCCATGACATATTTGGGCATGTCATTCTTTCAGAATTATGCGGCTGAGGCGTTTTGAAGAGGGCCTTGCTGAGTGGAAGAAGGACCGGAGACCTGTGGAACCTTGTGGATGTCCGCTGGGCCATAGAAAACCCGAGAACAAGACTCGGAACTACGATGTGAGGGTGGCCTTTGGATTGTTTAAGAAGCTGATTGGCTTGGACTGGTCAGGGTGGCTTTTGTAGACTCATGTAGGCTCAGTAGCTCCATTTGAACATTCGTGATGGCACCGACCCGGCCATGCCAGAAAGACGAATTCTCGCAAGAAGAGATCCGAGAGCTCATAGAGGAAATCGAAGAACAGCGGCTGCAAAACAGCGAAGCCGAAATGAACATGCGTTATCCGAAGCATGGCTGCACTGAATTCAATGGAATCACAATGTTCAGTTGCTTGAGCAATCAGATTGAGTGCAACAAAGCCAAGGAGACCAACGCGACTGGGATTGCAACGAATGTATATGATGTCATATGTTGCTAGGAGCCTGCTGGGAATGCATCTTATGCAGGCCAGAGGGGGACTTCCTGGTGGAGATGACAGACGACATGCTTACGGTGCCTTTGGAGATCCCTTGCTCTGATGCAGGAGGAATTGGTGGAGAAGTGTGTGTGTGTGTCTTAGTTTTAGTCTTAGTCTTATAGGCTTTCTGAGGCCCAATGTTTGCATGTATGTATGATTTGATACTGTAGTTGTTCATTTGTTGAAGCACCTCTAGATTCCAACTTTTATATAACATTATATAGGCTGGCCATGCGGGCAGGATACAGTGCTGGATGCAGCCCACACACTTCTCCAGATCCAGAACTTGCAGCAAGAGTGGCGGTAGCCATGATGCAATTGACCGCAGACGAGGGTTGTCGGCTTTGAGCTTCCCAAGCCCTTGCATACTTCGTAGCCCACGAGTTGGTTGATTTGAGCTTTCAAGAGCCACGCCAAGGGGCAGGTTCGCAAGAATCTCGAGTTGCAAAGGCCGGCATCATGGTTGGGAGCCACCAAATCAGAACAGATCATGTTACAGTATATACTCGGGAAGGGGCGAGAACTGGAGCAACTATCTATATAAGTTATACAAGCGCCTAGCTTCACTTGACAGACGACAATGGAGTGATAGAGAGAGAGAGGGAAAAAAGGAGATCCATACGTAAATTACATCTATTATTTTGTAGGTGAGGACTGGCCGCTTTGAAGTTGGCGCCCATTCATGAGACATATGTGTCCCACAGGCGAATGGAGGATCTGCTGATTTGGCGATCAGAGACTACTGCTGCTGAGAGAGAATTATGTTTGACTGCTTTCACTTCAAGTGGATCTCACTCTCCGACGGGAAGGTGAAGTGACATTCAGAGAGGTAAAGGTCGCAACAAATACAAATCTCAGCATATCAGCATATCACCTTCCAATGAATGAAAATAAGAACCCTCTTCAAGAGAGTTGGAGAGCATTTCATTTTACTGCTTCAGCCCAATAAAACTGACAGCGACCAACCATCCTATTGGTTTAGATATTCTGAGCAGCGCAATGACGCGTGGTGTGCGACTGCTTGTTAGATCAAGGTTGGAAAATTGCAGAACGACTTGCAGCTGGCCACATGGCTGAGATGGATATATTATCTATAGTTTGTGAAGGAACCAACTCTAGGAGCAAGCGATCAAAGTCCGTCAGGCTCACCAACCTCAGTGGAGTCACAGTAAGCCCTTGATACAAGTCGACCTTCTCATCGTGACACTTGCTCCTTCAAAGCTTCAATGCCCACTTTTCACGGCAGCGCGCCAGGTTGGATCGCCCGAGCTATTGGGAAAGAGTCAGTGGGTCGCCGCTGAGGTGGGCATTCAATTTTTGGTCATTTGGGTGGGGAGAAGCTACCCTGACGTTGGCCATCTAAATCAAAAAGGATATTAATATGTCATGAATGAATCGCGTTGAGACCATCACAATGCATAGTAAGTACTCAATCTCAGACCCTATGATGCAAGCTGGACTGGAGGAGCATTCAACTGTCGCGGAGTTGCGTGAAAAGCTTGAGGCAGAGGTGTATGCTGGGCGTTCAACCATTGCAGATTTGCACAACAAACTCGAGACAGAGATGAAAAGTGAGCTGGAGGAGCATTCAACAGTCGCGGAGTTGCGTGAAAGGCTTGAGGCAGAAGTGCATGCTGGGCGTTCAACCATCGCAGATTTGCACGACAAACTCGAGACAGAGATGAAAAGTGAGCTGGAGGAGCATTCAACAGTCGCGGAGTTGCGTGAAAGGCTTGAGGCAGAAGTGCATGCTGGGCGTTCAACCATCGCAGATTTGCACGACAAGCTTGAGACAGAGATGAAAAGTGAGCTGGAGGAGCATTTGACAATCGCGGAGTTGCGAGAAGAACTTGAAGCAGAGAAGCAAGAAGCAGAAGAGCGACCTGGCAAGAGATTCGCTTGTAATTACTGTTGATTTATGTTGGTTTGTGATATATATATATACACACATATGTACACATATACATATGATTGTATAATTATATATATATGCGGATTATATGCGTGTGTGTGTCATAGCTTTACCATTGCATTCGCCGAACATTCAGAATTGTAGAGGACATCAGGGGTCCCACCAGCGTTTGGTAGAAAAGTACCCAGCTGAGGTATGAGGACCACATCATGCAATTGGAAGAGACACTCAGCTTCATCAGCTTGGGTATCCCCAAGCTGGTGGTTGTTGGTTGACTTTTGACTTCCCGTTGGGTCGTTTTTAGTTCTTAGACTCCGTAGTGCACAGTGCACACCGGTGGCCATTCCCAGGAAGCTGGAGCACGAGCGACGCGAGCGCAACAAGTCCCCCAAGTCACCCACCAAGCGCAGCTCCGCGTTCGTGTTCGCTGAGAAGATGGCCGAAATCCACGAATCCCATAAGGGTCGGGGGAGCCGCAGCAGCTTTGAATACCCTGCGGCTTGGAATACCCTGCGGCTTGGCAAAGGGAGCAGTCAAAGGCATCAAACTTGCAGCAGTTTGTCATGTGGTTCAGGGCGGGTCAAAAAAATGCCCACTGTCCCCAGTGATTCATAGACAACGATTCCGGAATGTTGAGCAGGACCATCATGATGTCCTTTCCCTGATCATGGGCGGTCCTAGGAATCCAGTTTGGGGTTTGGGTGTAATTATGTTTGATGACCGTGTCAAAGGATAAAATGACATGAGAGAGAGAGAGAGAGAACGTTTGCCAAGGCTAGCTCCAGGGATGTCAGCTCATCGCTTTCACCGCAACGGCACCTCGAATGCAGCCCTCCCATGTCCCGCCCATGTGGGCCAAGAAAGGAAAGACAAGGAGAGGAATATGACTCATGACAATAGAACCAAGGACCAAGCTTCTCGGCTTTTCAGTCAAGTTCACGCGCTAATTAAGCCGCTAAACTCTCAAGAATGTCAGATCTCTTCGATCCGCATTGTTGAACACAAAGCCCGTGTGATGTTCCCAACAGCTACCCCGGCCGCTTCCTTCCCTAAACCTATTGGAACCGGAAACTTGGAACTTCCAAGAGACTCCAACAACCCTTGCAATGCCTCGTAGTTGCTAGCTGCATTTAGCTGCTAGATCTGAGTGCAACCAGAAATTGCTCGGACAATTGTCTACCCCGGAACCTTTACTGGTTGAAGGCACCCAACCAGTGCCGGGGAAAAAGAGTTCTCAAGCATAGCATCGGACACATTACTTACCGCGCTGGAACAGACCGGAGCTGGAGTGGTAGGAATGGTGACCTTTTTGCAGTGGCCTCAGGCGCTGAAAAGCTTCAAGTTCCGGTGAAGAAATCCTGTCCCAACATGCTTCAACTGCCCACTCAAACCTCCTCTGGCACCCTTTGCTGTGAACCCAATGATTTGATGATTTGTCAAGAGTCCTTCAGGGATCGTGGCGCTGCAGCTTTATCTGGGACCGTCACTTTCGCTGAAGACTTCCAGGCCAGCTGTGCATCATGCAATGCCCGAGGTGTTGTGGTGGCTGTGCTATTTGAGAGTTGCCGTCAATGTTACGTTGCTAATGGTTGCTAATGCTGACTGTAATTTGCACACATGTAAACTGTTTGCTTTGGCGTCTTGTCCAGGAATGGTTCTTAAAGCATGTGTTTCTGACATTTCACTGTTCGCGGAGTTACCAGAAGGCTCAAGGTTTTCTGGAGTCCGAAAGCTCATATGGATTTGGGCATGCTATGTTGACAAATTGCCAGCCTCGGGGACGTATTCGGGGTAAGGAAGGTGGGCCCGTATGAGGAGGCAAGCTCAAGATTGACCAGCTACCAATAAGCCACACCAAGCCCCCAGTGCCAGACAGAGCCGTCGCTTGTGAGGCGATCCAGATGCCAGTTTTTTTCGTGGGTCCTGTGAGAATAGGTCCGCACAGGGGTAGCTAGGGTATTTGCTTGTGAGGCGAACTGCCATGTCGCCTAGTTTTGTCTATGCAGGGGCCACCTCAAGCACCCATGCTATCAGGGCTGCCAGTGATGGCTTTCTTTACTCTGGCAAGCGGTGCCAGCTGTCGTTGCAATGCTGGCGAGAGAGTTTGGGCATTTTTGCAGAACGACTGGTGGCTTGCCACAGTGCTGCGCCGAAACCCCGGCATGGACGCAGAAGTGCAAGTCGAGGATTTGGGCCATGCAATGGTGCCAGCTACCAAACTCAGGACACTGTATGGTCAGCTATGTGCCTGTGCAGCCCTTTGTTTTTTTGGACGCGTTGGCAATTTACATGACAAGTTTCACGAAGCTGGCTCAACAGAAGAAGCTTTGGCCATTTCTGCGGCCAGTGTTTGGGAGTATGTCATCAGAGGCAATTCAGACATGTATTGGGATATATTTGCTCACACGTGGGATCAAGATTTGGCTGAGGCGATTAATGAGGCCTACAGACCTTTGCAAGTCCAAGCCGAGCTGAGAGATCCAACTGCGCCAGCAGTCGAAAGCTTTGGTGAAAGTGTTTGGCGCAGCAGTGAGTTGCGAAGAAGGGAAGAGATCAAAAGGGGGTTCCGGTACGATTTAGTTGTTTTGATGCGCTATGATATTCTTTTCAGACGGCCACTGAACCTATGGCTGAGCAGCAATGAGACGCTTTGGACCAGCCACTGGTGTTCCATCCACTCAGAGGACCTCTTGGTACGTGAAGTAGTTTTGTCATGGGAGCCCCACGCAGGAGATCCACGCTTTCAAAAAACTGGTGTCTTGGCCCCCTCACAATTTGCCCCCGTAGGACTTCACGACTTTTGGTTCGCCGGACCATCCGTCGCAATGGAACACTTTGCCGCTTGGGGGTCGTCGAGAGACTGCTTCCTTCAGCGCTATGAATTGCAATCAGACGAGCTGCCACTGGATGTGGGGCATTTTTACACCTATCTCCACGCCAAAGAGCTGGGACTAAAGCTCATGTACACAGGTATCAGCTACTTAGACTTCACGCTGGTGCGATACAGAGACTGCAAGCTGCGAATTGCAGAGGAAATTTTGCCACCGGATATTTTCTGTAGTCATTGGGAGGTCAGCATCACCAGGCAATGTGATGCCTGGATCCTTAAGGAAAGTGGCTGGGCACATCACTTTTGCCCGATCGCCGGGCGTCGCGTGCTCTTGGCCCCTGGCGCCCACAGCTGTGGGCGGTTCTGAGGCTTTTCACCCTTCAAAACAGGGGACACGCGAACCATGCATCCCAAGCCTAGATCTTTAGGTTCACCATTTGCAAAAATGTGTGTTGAAACAAGAGTATTTCCTGGTAGGAAATTGCGACATAATGTTGTGACCCAGCTCAACAGTTCCCGCGAAGATCAACAAAGGATGGGAAAGGCCTGTTGTTACTTGGGGCCATGATTGACATCGATCCATTGGAGGCTTCACAATACCAAGAAGCTGAGCACGAACGGCTCCTCAGCTGCTGTTGGAGCAGATTGACCTGATTGAACGTTGTTGAGGCTTAGGCTTCGTGTTAGTAGAGTAGATCTATGTTTAGCACATTGGGATTGAGCCTGTCAAGGGCTGAATATGTTCTTTCTGTATCGACAAGGGTTGTGTCATGAAGTCGCTGAAGTAAGCGAGGTGTTACTAGTAGCGTGGCACTTGTTACTAATAGCTTCTTGTTACTACTAGTAAGGCACCTGTTACTACTAGCGATGCACCTGTTACTACTAGCTTCTTGTCACTACTAGTAAGGCACTTGTTACTGCAGAAGTGGCAGCATGATGTGCACAGGATTGCACACGTGTGTTCATGTGTGTGTGTGTGAGTGAGTGTCCGCGTATCAGTTATTTGGTGTGCCAGTCTTGATGTGGGCCTGCACCTTTGCTAATATTCCTTGTCTGTGGTTTGACTGCGTGATTTGCAATGAAATCCTTTGCATGTTTGGAAGTGTTCATGTGTTTTTGTTTCACCAGATATACTCGAGGCTTTGAGGTACAGTCCAGACTCTTCCACCGTACTCGGCCAAGGCTCATGAATGCAGAGGTGAAGAGGACTTCAGAGACTTGATGCATTTGAGAGGTGTTTGTATAGATTTTGTCTCAATAAGAATCACGTTTAAAGCTTGGATTCAATTTGCATCTATTTGTTGGTTGCATGACAAGGGGTGTGGGCTCCATCTGACAGCTGGCCTCAGCAAAGGCACACAACCATAGGCCCTATGCATAAGTAGATCAGAATTGGCCAAAGTGTTGCCAGCCTTTAGTCAAGTGGGCAACTTGTGCTGCACAGCCCCACCGAGCTGTTTGACAATCATAGAGGGCAGATATTCAGGAGAACAGAAGATCTGACTTTGCCCCGCAGGGTTCCCAGCAACATCCCCAGAGACCCCAGCCAGCCAAGATACTGCTGTCTGAGCACATGGCAGAGAAGACTAAACTCAAAGAGAGAAACCAGGAGCACCTTGGACGCATTAGCGACACCGCTGGCAAAGCATGGTGGTGACGGTGGTGGTGCATGCTGACCCAAGTGATCCCATGGGTTGCGGAACTTGCAGTGTAGCACAAAGGTTGCAAGGCTGTGTCGAGCAAAGTTGGATGGGTGTTGTGTGATATTGTGTGATGTTGTGTGCCTACGCATAAGAGATATCCACAACCTGTGCAGGGGCTCAAGATATTTTGAAATGGCTAGCTGACTGAACTGAGGCTGGAACTTCGCTTAGCAGAGCTGCATGAGAAGCATAATCAGGAGAGAAAGTCGATGGATAAATGTCTCTCAGCAGTTGCCCAGAGGGCACTCAGAAAGGCCTTGACAGGCAAACTGGTGCAACCATGCCGCCATAGAGCGTGGACATCCTGGAATCTATATAGAATCTAGAATGGATCCGGTATTGATCCGACATTTATTGTGCCATCGTCATTGAAGACATTTGAACCCCCCCTCATGGTCTGTCGGTACTTTTCCAATCGCCAGGAGCTGTCAGCTATTGAAGAGTTGAAACTGAGCGAGCAGCGAGGATTGTCCTTGGTGGGTGCAGCAAATACACCTGATCAGTTTGGGTAGATCGACTGCCATGATCAAGACTGACAATTGATGAGATTTCATGGGAAGTCCTCTCTTGGCCGGATTATTCTCATGAGAAAAGACCTGAAACCAGCTCAATGAACCATGCTGATCTTGTCAGAGCTTCAAAGGGACGCGTCAAGTCTGAAGATCTCTGCCCAGATGTTTGTAGGTTGCTGCGGTGCTACTGTTGTTAAACATCGAAGCCCACAGATCGATGAAAGATTTGACGTGGACTGCCTCAATCCTCCTTAATCCGATTCAATGCACTTACCGGAATAAGTTGGCCTCGAACCAACATTCTAGATGTTCAATCCGAGCTTGAAGTGTATGTGATCACCGTCATTCACGCAAGGATTTGATGCCGAGAAAGCCGCGCGGCATGTGGTATTGTCTTTTGGCACAAGCAGAAGTCACATGAGGTGGACCAGCCATTTCAACGTCGGAGATGTACTGTAAGATGATGAAATCATTGAACATGTGCCACAAGAAAGCTGGAAATCTGAGGGGCACTGAAGCCAAGCTGGCAGCACTGCAGGATGAAGAGGGCCGTGCCTTGATTGATGTTACAAATGTCTTAAAGCAAACCCTCAACTGGTGTAGAAATCTCATAAAACCTTGATGAGGCCGGCAGGCAAATGAGGAGTGCCTCACCAGCAAGCTGATGGAATATCAGAAGGAGGCTGGACAAGCCCGCTGTCATGAAGCTTTGAGAGGGAGGGGGAGAGAGAGAGAGAGTTGGGCACTTTTTCATGTTAACTGTTGTGTCCTGAAGTTGCGAGAGTATTGTGAGGGAGTGAAACCACCTAGCAAGCCGAGCAATGCCGAGCATCAAAGACGCATTCACCCCTTCCAGACCGCAGGCCGTGCAGATGGCATTGTATCGCACAGAGTTCTTGGACAGCGAGGCTTGGGCGGTGTTGGGTAATGTGCGGTGGGTGCAGAGCCGTGAAGTCGTGTCAACGCTGCAGCAACTGCAGGAAAGAGCTGCATTGGCTCAGAGGAGAGACATGGACTGGCTCATTCAGTGTCCATTCGTAGCTTCTGGAAACGGGAGGTCCGGCTCTATTGATTTCACTGTTTGTACATATGTATTTCCGTATGTGTATCTATGTATGTGTATATTTGTACATAGCGCGATTCGGTCGGACACTGTTGCAATCCGGGGTCGTCATTTCCTGCACACGTTGCCTTGATGGTGGAGCATTTATGGCATGGGAGATGGGCAACAAGTATATAATTAGTAAGTAGCACTTGGAATTCTTGAGACTGAAGGAGATTGGAATCTACACAATCAAAATGCACAGAGCTGGCGAAAAGTGCAGACGAGGCCTGTTGGGCCGTCAAGATCTTTGTGCCAAGTGAGGGAAGGATGTTGCAGCTCTTTGGTGTTTTTAGTATCCGGGTTTCAAGATCTGTCCGGGCAAGAAAGGCTGTGCCGCAGTAAAAAACGGTTCAATTCATGGGATGGGGGCACTATGGGAAACACGCTCCTGAATTCGTTGCGTGTCATTCCAGGCCCTTGAAGGTGAGTTGAAGGCACGAAACATCCTCACAGAGTTGGAGTCAAAGCCGGGTGCCCCAGCACAGCATCAGGACCCACTGGTTTAATTGTCCACAACACTTCAGGACTCGATCACAAGAAGATGAACTTGAAAGTCTTACCAAGATCGAAACTTTGCTGCAAAGACCTCAGATCATTTCAGCTCGAAGTCTCCCATATTCAATAGGTCGCTCATCGTTGCCCTTCATGAGGTGGGAAAGCCAGGAGCGCTCAGAGGCTGCGGAGAAGGCAGGGGCATCTTCCGAAAATACCTTTCAGTAAGGCGATACTGTTTGGATGCTTCACAGGTTGTTCTTGCCTCAAGCAAGTGTAGCATGGGAACGAGTCCGCAGTTGCAAAGGTGTTCAATGTTGGCAGGCCAACAAGGCCCGCGAAGACGAACTGGCCGAGTACAAGTTGATGTTCGAGAAACTCAGCTCATGCACCACAGGGTACTTTCGCATGAAGCATGTGGGCCCTGTTGAACACAGCCTCCGCTCCTGAGGAGCCTGCAAAAGGCAGAGACGCAGAGCAGAAAGCTATTAGAAGCCCGAAATGCAGAGCTGCAGAAAAGCATCGCACCTGGGCGCACACGAGCCTGTTCTTGGAACGCATCTCCGTTTAGGGTTTTTTAAGTGGTTCCGTTGCATGGTTGCTACATCTAGTGCATCGTGCAAGCCCAAAGCCAGTGAGAGAAGCTCTAAAGATTAAGGAATGCAATGGCACCCACGTGGTCAGGTGAAACTTAAACAAACCCCCAAAATGAGAAGATCTTGGCATGATGGAGGCGGACAGGCATGCCCCCACTCTCCACCAAAAACTCTAAATGAGCAGAAGCACACCATCACCTGATGATTCAGGAGGATGCGCGAGAGTCGGAGGCGCAACTGGCCCAGGATCCCATCGGTTGGTACACGGCGCTATGCCTTTTGACAGGTACACGTACATGTTTCATCATGTGTCTAAATTATTCAGAGAGAACTTGAGGTAATGCCCACGACAAAAAAAGACCTGGGTACATGGCCATGCCCAGCTGTTGTTGGAAAAGGCTGATTACTGCAAGGCGTCGAGTCTACAGCAACAGCATTGTTTGGACTTGGAACAGATTTGCAGAACCCGGAGGAGCGGGCGCTGCTTGCAGAAAAGGTTGCCTCCGCACTGAGGCACACTAGCCGCAGAGACATTTGGGACATTGGGATGGCTGTTGCAGCAGGATCAAGGGACATGTCCTCGGCAAAGATTATATAGATGCACTCAACCGCCATTGTGGCCCTTCATGTTCTGAACAAAAATACGTTGGGCTTTACGGCCACCGTTCCATTTTCCTCGGAATCCTGCACAAGTATACATGTTGAAGGCATTTGAAGGCCACTCATAGGCCTAGATCCTACACTACCTTGGTTCAATTATGGACGTTTGATGTACGTTTGAATGTTTGTTCACAACCATGCTTGTTTCGAACCAGGCCAGCTCGCCATGAGTCGGACGGCCACGCTCTCAAGAACGGACACGAAGGCAATCAAGTGGCACGAAAGGTCTAGGTCGAGCCTTTTCAAGGGTGACCGGACGCAAAATGAGGGAACCACTTGCACATAGACTAATGTCACACATAAAGATCAACGCCATAACTATCCTTCTTTGGGAGCTTGAGCCACTGATCCTCCGGATAGCCAGGTTTCGCTAAACTGCCCGAATGGAAGGTCTTCAGAACGCATAAATGATCATACAAAATGTCAACAAGGCACTGATGAGGCTCCATTGTCTTGCATCCATGTGAGTAGACATTGGTTTAATTTGCTTTGCTCGTCAGCTCGAATGTCCTGGAAAGTAGGGGTGACAATGGATTCAATCAAGGTGTTAAGGAGAACAATCCAACAACTGAATCGTGTGCGTTTGAGGTCCGTCTTTGGCAGATCGAGTGGGAGCAACTTGGTGTCCACTGATTCTTGAGAGACTTCGAGGAAGGTACAAAAAGCACGACTTATGCTTAGGAACACAGATGAACAAAGTAAGGTTTTGATGCAGCGGAATTTGAAACTCCAGAGGCACCACTGCTGCGTTATCATTGTGTTGTGGTAAGGCCAGGAGCTACTAGTAGCGTCCTTGCTCTGTTCGTTGCGATGCCCTTTGTTCCTAGTAGCTTCTTGTTACTAGTAGTAAGGCTAGGAGCGCCCCTAGTAGCGTCCTTGCTCCTTTGCTACTTGGGTTGCATGGGCCCAGGTGTCCGCTTAAAAGCTTGAAGTGCATTATCCAGGTCATGTATGGTGATGTAGCACAAGTACTGGCTCTCTAATTTTGCAGAGGTAAACTTGATATACAGGGAGCTATGAAGCATGGGCCTGTTGGATCGCCTATAGATGTGGCCCTGCCAGGCAGATGGCAAGCCTTCTCGAGCAAAACCTGGCAGTCATGCCCCGAGTTTCCTTGGTCAGTGTGAAACGTTGTGGCTTGCAGACTCTCAAAAGGTTGAAATGGCAAATGTTCCGAGGTGGGCACTCAACCTGATGAGCCCCAGGCCAGTTGACAATGATAATACAGTACATGGATTATTGGATGAATTCCCGTTCTCAAAACCGTTTCTGTGTATTCTCCAGATGACTGGAAGCTATATGTGTTCTGACTTTTTGTAGAACGAGCCCCTAATTGCAACCTTATGCCTTGAACTCTGGAGGGCCGCAAGCTTTTTGCCCAAGCCCTGATCGCAACTTTCTGGAGCCCTCCCCTGATCCATCCTGTTCATCTTGATCCGATATCCTATGATCCCATTCTAGCCCGTCTAGCCCTACTTGTCTTGTCGGGATCCGTATGGCGGTTAAAGACCGAGCGCCCGCCTTTACACACCACGCTATTTGGGAGATATGTTTGTTTTGGGTATTATGCTCATGTTCTACTATTGTTTTGTGTTCTGAGGTGGCGCAAGTGCTTCGTTGATGATTTTGTGACTTAAAGATCAGCAGCTACAAGCCTTGCAGTGTTTCTTTGACAAGTGTGTCGAAGGGTTTTGGACCATCATCCTTCCTTGTTCGACTCACATGCATTCCGGCTCATGCTTCACTGAAAACTACTTCCCAATGGCCTCGAGTCTAGACATCTCTATATTCTAGACTCTCGTCAGGGAAGCTTCCTAATATAGCCTCCACTGCCACAGGAAGGGCATGTCAGATCGGCTTCAGAGCAGGCCAACCACCGGGCGATGTTGTGCTTCAAAATTGAAAAACACTGAAAAGAATATTCCATGCCATGATGAGAAACTCATGTGTTTTGAAGTGTTTGTTTTTCGGGTTGCTTCATAGACAGACCAGAAGTGGGATGCCTGCATCAAACCAGCTTGCAGACCAAATTCATTCACATTACAAAGTGGCCTGTGTGAGCTGGTGATTGGTCTTGAGGTTGGCCCGCCACAAATGCAAGAAGAGTGACTTGGCGAGCAAGGCATCATCGGATCAGATGACATGCTGATACATGCTGCACATCATGGATGTGCAGCCCAACAATCCCTTCAAGCGGTACTGGAGTGCATTGAGTTCATATATTATATATAACTATATATATATATACATATTATGTGTGTGTAAGTATATATACAGATTGGAAGATTCGGTATAATTTGGGCTGGTGGTTGCAGAGCATTGCTTGTTTCGCACAAGGTTGACACTCCGTCGTTGCACTGACAACCGCAGAAGGGGTTCTAAAGGTGGCTCGACCCTGTAAGCTCTTCCAATGGCAGCCGAGGAGTCCTGTCAAAGGCCGCTCTCGTAGTCGGCAGTCTGTGCGTGTGTTCGGACAAAAAGTGCTGCTGGAACGGCAACAACGTCGAGCAACCTGGTGCAAAGATGCCTTTCTGGAGGACGCCTCGTTCGTGACCCTTCCTTGTGGATCAGACTTTTGGATTAGAGTACAGTAATAGCTTCTTGTTACTAGTAGCTACTTGCTCCTAGTACGGCCAGGAGCCCCTAGTAGCTTCTTGTTACTTGTTACTAGTAATAATGATTAATAATGTGTAGTGTGTGGCAAGAAAAATCCTCTCAGTTTGATTCAGTTTGGGTGTCCACCTTGTCCAGCTAAATCGATATTATGATGATTGTGGTGAAACCTGCTTGCCAAACTGCATTGAAAAAGGTCCGAGAAGGTAGTCAGGCAAACTGCTGGTTGATTGAATCTAAGGCAGGCTCGGAAGAGTCTGGGTCTACAAGGCAGGGAGCGACTGTCAATTGACTGTGCCAGAGACAGTCGCATATTGTGCGATGGGCTGAAGTCCAGAATGAATGCTCGATCATGGGAGCTTCGTAGTCAGCGGTGCAGGCCCACGCAAGATGAAGTTGACACACAGGCAGGGTTTGTACCTTGAAAAAGCTTTTGCTCGTATGCCAGGCCAACCAACCCACATTCCATGCAGGGCCCATGGCTGATGATCATGGGTGATACTGTACGTGTTTTTGGCAGTTGGATGTGTTGACCAGTTGATGGAGACTGCACAATGCCAATCCCAGTCACTCAAGAAGACAGCTTTATTATATCTCAAAAATTATCAAAACAAGTTTTGCTCCCCCCTGCCCCAGAGCATGCCAAGATATGCCAAGGCAAGTGTCTCAGCTTGATAGTCCCGTATATAATCCAATTTGAACAATCTTGGGTGCCTGAGTTTGTTGTAGAAAAAGGGACATGAACATCAGCCACATAGCCGAAATGACTCGACTCATTTGCATTCATTAGCCTATATAGATAACGCACACAGCACACATGTCGAACAAACTGGTCATATGATGCATGGCATTGTATGACCGATGCAGGTGAGGCTTTGCGTTTATTAATCAGAGGACCACATTAGATCATAGAGAACTGCGTGTGCCGGTTGTGCACGGATGTCAGATGTGATGATGTGGCCACGAGCCAATCATTCCATTAGATCTCCCCCACCAGCCTCAGATCGCGGAGAAATGGCCACATCAGACCATAGAGGACTGTGTGTATTGGTTGCGCACGGACGTAAGATGATGATGTGGCCATGGGCCAATCATTCCGTTAGCCCACCCCAATCCAACCCCCCACCCACCCCACCCCACCCATGATGCTGGTGATGTTGTTGTCGTCGCAAGTGATCTTTAAAAAGCATTTAAAAACGTGCTCAGTGTCGTCGCAAATGATGTGAAAAGTGTCGTCGTAAGTGAGTGGTGGGCCGATGCATGCTGGATGATGTTAATGGGTGCTGGATATTTTAGAGTTGAGACCCAACGAGTTTGGTATAAGGCCAAATCATTGAAACTGTGTTTAATGTAATGGTTTCATTACTTTTGCCTTAATGAAACCCAAACTACCAAATTTGTGACATCAAAAACACACAAGAACAAACTAGCCCTGTTAACAAAACATAATTTATTCCATACCATAATACCATGCTTCATATTGTTTCATAAAGTTTTCGTAATATGTTTCTCGAATGTTATGAACAGTTTATGAAACAATTATGGAAAGTGGTATGACAATTTTATGAATTCAGGACTGTTTGAACATTTTACGATAATCTTATGATTTTTTACGCCGGGTGTTTTTCTTGTAACGAAAAGTTGAGCAATTTACTTTTCTATAAAATCCAGCAGAATGGTTGTCTATTTAAAACTAGACGACGAGTGGCCCGAAAGCATTTTTCATCACGTAGGAAGTCAGAGTGTGAGTTATCTGTTAAGTGTTCAGTGTGAAGTGTTAAGTCGAGTGAGTTGAGGCAGTGTGTGGGTCTCTGTGTGTTTGTATGAATGTCTGTGTGTGTATGAGTCTCTGTCTCTGTGTGTGTGTCCGAGTAAGTTGAGGCAGTGCGTGGGTCTCTGTGTGTGTGTCAACCTCTCAAGAGAGCCGGGTGGTCGGGAGACATGACTCAGCTGCAGGGGCGCCAGAGCAGCCGCGAGAGATGACCATCCGCGTGCTAAAGTTGTACTACAAAGTCGCCAGTTCTCAGCTTCCAGCTCC